AACCATTTGTGTAGTGAAGAAAAGCATTTACTTATTGAGTAAATTCTTTTAGTCAAATTTCTTTGAAAGTAGTACAAACTAATCTGATGTACCTATTAAAGTCTACTTTAAGCTTTAAATCAATAAATCTTCAAAACTACTGAGCTGAAGTACATTAATTTTATATCATTATAGAGGTAATTGAAAGACCTTTAAAATAAGGTATCACTCGACCCCCCTTTCCATTTAAGATTTTAGGGTTGGTGTCACCCCCGCCCAGGAGGCTGCACGTGTTATTGTGATTTTTTGCCAAACTTGTGTCCACCTTGAAAACAAAATCGACGGGTCTGAGCGTTTTTAAAAAAAAAAAAAACTGCGCTGCCAGTAAATGCGTCTGTTTCGTTTTCGATGCGCCATCCTGTATGTGTACAGAGAGTAACTATACAAAATGGTGTGGGGAAACTTGCTTCAGACAATTCTACTGAATTTGAGGTATAAATGCCTCGAGACGCGTTGGTTCAAGCTGGTCATTGCTCATTCTTAGCATAAATCTAGAGATTATATCTATGATTGTTAATAAGTATCAGTAGAAGTCTTTTTATACCAAATCGAGGCGTATCTGTCACCTTATTCGGATGTCTAGGGTTGTATGAATAATCTACTGCATCTGTACACGTCGACAATGATAAAGTGTCTCAAAAATCATTTATCAACAATCAACAAAACATGTGATTGACGAAAAAAAATATTTTGCTTTTACTGTATCTGCTATGCACTTGAAAACCGTTGCTTTTGTTCCTTGGACCACCGCGCTCTATACAGGGTGTACCTGGCTAAGCTTCAGATGGCGCTCGTTGGATCACCCTTGGATTCATGGCTCATTAATACTTTATTTTCAACTTAGTTTAAACTTTAAACACCATGATGAAATTTAATAAGTATAGGCATTGTCGCTGGTTTTGGCAGGTCACAGGAAAACTACAAGAATTACTTTCATGCATCCATTTCCCTCATACATAGGTACGTATGCAATCAGCATCTACAGGGTGGTCCAACGAAAAGGTTGCACCCCTATTTGAGACTCTCCTTGTATATTTTGGGGAAAACTCTTAGGCATTTTGATTCCTAGGGGACGTCCTTTCATATATAGTCGTGAAATATGGGCTAATCCAAACCGCTTGCAGGGTATACAGTAACATCTGGGACTTCCTGCCATTGCCGTTAGGCGATAGCCAAGGTTTTTTTCTTTTAGTTTTATTGGTAACCATTTAGCCAGGGGATAATGCGCAAGAATTTTCTTAGCCTGTCTTCCAGGGCCTTTATTCAATTTGTTTGCCCAATAAATGTCTGTGTGCCTAATGAGATTGTGTCTCCTTAGGTCCATTGTTATTTCATTTTCTAGTTTTTGAAACTGGGTGGCGCCCAAACCGCAACCGCTTTGAATTAAGGTACAAGGAACCTCACCCTGAGGTCTCATATCCAACGACAGTTAGTTTTGGCCGGATAAAAGTAATAATCTGGTGCGGTTTTAGCTACATCAGGGGTGCCCCAAGGTTCTGTTCTGGGTCCTCTGTTATTTTTAATTTTTATCAATGATGTTACAACAGACTTGCTGTCTGAGTACCTGCTACATACCGATGACCTCAAAATTTTTAATAGCGTGTGTTGCTTAGAAGACAGTTTAAGGTTACAGGCTGATTTGAACGTCATTGATCGCTGGTGTAAAGTAAATAACATGCACTTGAACGTCAATAAATGAACTACTATGACGTTTACACGCAGGGTGGAACCGACATGTTTTAATTTTGAAATCGGTAACAATGTTCTTTGTCGTGTTAATATCGTCAAGGATTTTGGCGTATTATTCGATCTAAAGGTTCCTTTTACTGATCACATTAATGCAATAATAGCAAAAGCTTTTAAAAATATTGGTTTTGTTATAAGAAACAGTAGACATTTCAATAATACTAAAACATTAATTTTACTTTTTAATGCTTTTGTCAGACATATTTCGATTATCTGGTACCCGGTCTATGATATATACTGTAAAAACATCGAGAGAATCCAACGTCGTTTTGTGAAATACTTATGGTTTAAAGATGATAGCGCGTACCCTGAAAGGGGTATACGCAGTGACATTCTGTTAAGTAGATATAATTTACCTAATTTAGTCAAACGTATGAATCTGTTAGCTGCTAAATTTTTATGTAATTTGTTGAACGGAACAATTGATTGCTCTTTTCTTCTAGATAGGATCTCTCCACGCGTTCTCGATTTGCCTACTCGTTATGGTGGTAACAATTCATTTTATTTACCTGTTTCGCGGAAAAATTTATTGTTATTTTTGCCTCTTTATGTTATGTGACAGTGTAAGTGAACTTGATATTTCTAGTTCCACCAAAATCGATCTCAAGAGGTGTTTTTTAACAATTGAATAATTTATATTTATGTCTTTCTTATCATGTACTGTGAAGAGTTTTGTTTATGTATCATTTTTTGTTTTTTCCCTGCCTGTTAATTGGATCACTCTGTTCAGGCAGTGAATGGATTATTATATCCCGAAAAAAGTATGCAATATTCTACCGGCGGTTTCTAGAGCTTAAAATAGGAAGAAAAGTTTATATAAAGATAGGTCGACAAACGTCCCCTAAGGGCGCTACGGTCTTTTAAAGGGGCTCGCCTGAAGATGGTTTTTCCTTAATATTTCCGAAACGTGTTGAGATAAAGACATAAAATTTGGTATTCTAGCTTAGTTTTTTATGCTGGATTTAAAAATATTAACGATTCTATACAGTTTTGTTTGTAAGCGTATGTAACAGGGACGGGCTCAGGTTGTTTTAGCCCCAAAAATTTTGTGTGATTCTATTTTTGAAATACAATTTTAGAATTTGAAAATTTAGGGTTTTCTACATAAAAAGGTACTCTTATTGAATATCGATACATTGTGCCATTTTTGAATAAAATCAAACTAAAGAATCTGTCACATTATAGGAAATGTACAGCGAATTTAAATGAATTGTTGAATAATTGGCCATGGCAATGAAAAAACTAATTTAACGATTGGTAAATATTACATAAATACATACTTCTATTGCAACATAGCTAACATTTAGGCAAAAACAAAAGAAATACATTTTTTCTACGAACGAAATTGAAATTTGTTTAAAAAAGAAGACATACAGTTGGATATACTTAAAACTAGCTTTACAATAAGTGTTCAAATAAATTCCCATTTTGTTGGATACAGAGTCTCGCTCGACGAACTAATGATTGCGTAGCCCGAAAAGTGGAAAACCTTTTTCTTCTTATTTCATTTGCAGCCTGATGGATTCTTTGAAGTAAATCTTCTTGAGTATTTACTCCACTCGAGTAAACTAGGTCTTTTAATGACCCCAAAAATTGAAATCCAATGGATTTAGATCAGGTGAACGTGGCGGCCACGCTATAGTACCTTCTCGGTCTAACCAACAGTCTGGAAAATTGACATTCAACCAATTTCGAATATTGCTTCCAAAATGTGCAGGGGCACCATCATGTTGAAAAAACATATTTTCTTGAAACTGCTGGCGCACATCCAATGGTACTATATCCATGTTCAGATACACATCTGAATTAAGACGATTGGGAAGTACAATAGGCCCAATTACTTGATCCCCAATTACACCTGCCCATAAGTTCAATGAAAATCTCTGTTGGAAATTTGTACGGCGAACAACTTTTGGATTTTCATCTGACCAGTGATGCATGTTATGGAAATTAAAAGCAGCATTCCTAGTAAATATTGACTCATCCGACCATAATATTCTAGGAATAGTGTTTTCATTTGCTAATATCCACTGGCAAAACTCGATTCGTGGTAAAAAATCTGCCTCCGTTAAATGCTGCACCCGTTTAAAATGATAAGGATATAATTCTTGCATTCTTGTCATTCTTCCTATCTAAAATTATAATTTTTAGGATAACTATTAAATAGGTAATCATAAATTTTTCTTACTATTGATCGAGGTATATCCATAATTTCTGAAATATTTCGTATGCTTATTTGCGGATTATTTTCAAACATATTTAAAGCAATATCCATACGATGTTTTCCCAGTGGCCTTCCATGCGTAATTCCATGGTTTGACAAATTCCGGTGAATATCAGTAAACATTCGACGTCCAGGTACTATGCGATTGGGAAATCTTCTTTGATATTCTCTTACGACTCCCATTGCAAAACCCGTACACAAAATGCATGTCAGTCAGTTCTCTGTCTGTAAATCTTGGCATTTTAAATCGATTTAATAAAACTTTTGATTTTAATCTAGTAATTTTACACTGCTAACAATGTCAGCATATCGTCAAAATAAGTCATAACATATCAAAACAACTTTTGTTTGTAGTCATGGCTAACTATGTACGTATATAATGAACAATTCATTTAAATTCGCCGTACATTTCCTATCATGTGACAAATTTTTTACTTTGATTTTATTCAGAAATGGCACAATTTATCGATATTCAGTAAGAGTTACTTTTTTATGTAGAAAACCATAAATTTTCAAATTCTAAAATTAAATTTCAAAAATAGAATCACACAAAAATTTTGGGGCTCAAATAATCTGAGTCCGTCCCTGTTCCATACGCTTCCAAACAAAACTGTCTAAAATTATTAATATTTTTAAATCCAGCATAAAAAAACTAGGCTAGAATACCAAATTTTATGTCTTTATCTCAACACGTTTCGGAAATATTAAGGAAAAACCATCTTAAGGGAGCCCCTTTAAAAGACCGTAGCGCCCTTAGAGGACGTTTGTCGACCTATGTTTATATAAACTTTTCTTCCTATTTTAAGCTCTAGAAACTGCTGGTAGAATATTGCACACTTTTTTCGGGCCACCCTGTATAAATAAAAAATTATAAAAAAATAAATAAATACTATTTTTTTGAAAAAACGGGTCAAAACCACCCAAGTAGTCTTCCTTCATATTAACATAAGATTCTAATTTTCGAAGACTGAAAGTCCCACTACACTTCCAGGTATGGTAGAGGCAAAGGGTCGAAGAAATCCAACAGAAGCATCGCCCTATCAGCCTTAACTCTACTAGCCTTCCTATTCTTCCTCCACATTCTGCAGCAATGTCTGCAAGAACAAATGGACAACATGACTCCGCAGATGGTTGTGATGCAAGCCACCATAAACGCTGCAAGGGAGGCTGAGGCTAAGTTGAAGGAGGCTCAAAAGAGGGTCGGAGAGAGTAACGGAGAGGAGAAGAAAGATCCAGGGGTAGTTGAGGAAAGCACTGTAGATCAGAAGGGGGTGGAGGGTTTGTATATTTATGATAGAGTACCGACGAAGATGAACACAAAAGGAGGATTCGGTAATGTTTAAGTTTTTTAGCTTTGTAGTATGAAGTGTAATAGAGATGGTTGTGTTAGTTTAATCAAATAAAAAACCTAAGTTTTGTTTAAGATTTATTTAGCATAATTGCTACAATTACATCCTTTTAAAAAAACAACAACAACTACATAACATACAGATATTTAGAAAGACAAAATTTGCATCTCTAAGTATTCACTGCCCATGAAATATTCCCTTAATCTTCTTTTAAACATATTTGAATTACAAGTAGACTTTATATCATTGCTTAGTTTATTAAACTTATCCCTTAGAGTTTAAGTATAGAATAAGGTCATATATTTTGGGGCGAAACGAAGGCGCATACTTAGAGCCTCTCTCTGTCTGAAATATTGATCTGCTGGTTATGTTACTACAAAAACTCAATGGAACTTATCGAAATAAGACAGCACAAAGTGCCATATATTACCACTGATGTGATGTCTTATTTCGATAGACCTTATATCTTGAAAATAGGATAGTTGCTCAGCTTTCGTTCGTTATTCTACCTGAGATCAATCCTAGACCATGCTGATGAGTTGAAAAGTAGCACGAAACAGATATTCATGTTTGGGCGCCTGTGATCGGACAAACAAAGGCTATACTACTAGCTTATTCAATAGGTATTTTTTGTATAAGCTGATATCTCAGCGTATGAAGAGTAGGATCAGCCCACAAAAACGTCTTAGACAAAGTTAAACACCCGTCGTTTTTTCTAATACTAATTAAGAAAATACAATATTAGATGCCACAAGACAATGGTTCCTTTAGTTCTTTTTCATTGGAGACCTACCGCGACGTCGACTTCCAACTGAGACAAATAAACAGCGATCAATAAATTCAATCTATATCTGACATGCTGTTTAGCAAAAGTGATATGCTGCAGAAGCGTGCAGCAAATGAAAATTGTGAAAGTTGTGAGGTCATAATCTGATATCCATTTGGAGCTACGAAATAGCCAACTAAGTTGTTTTTGTGCTGATCAAGGGGCTCCTACCCGCACGGGTATTACGTATCTTGAAAAGTGACATTATGCCGATTTTTTTAGACATTATGCTGTTTTTGACATTATGTAGGTTTTTCTACAAGATATTAACTAAGCACTTAGTTGTACGTGTTGCCTAAACGTCATGAGGCTTGTTATTAATCTTTGGCTCTGATGTGATGTAAAATCTGCTTCTGAGAAGGCATTACTGGAGGTCTAAGCTGTAAGTTGTATGTGTTGATGATAATTACATTGGGTTCTTGTCTCAAATGCACTTAATAGAGATTCAAAGCTAGAAATTAGTTGCGCATCCACTTTTTTTTATCCATTCTGGAAATTACATATACAAATTTGCTGAATTTAAGAAATGAGAGAGATAAGAAATAATTATATTAACTGTACACTGTCGAATTACAAGCCGGTGATGATTTCCCGTAATTCTCTTCAGTTTTTCGTAATTTATAACTTTGAACTTAACCTCTCTTCATAAAGCACAACATAAAAATAACCCGTCGGGCACAGCAAATAGATATACTTCATTGGCAGCATATTCAGTAATGGTTTTCTCACAAAGCAAATATCACTGATTTTATACTCATGCAAACCAATACACATAATCATCCAGATGCGATCTTGCTATTCAACCAACTTTGTTCTCAGAGATAAAAACTACAGACAAGGAGCACTCGACCTCATAAAACATATGCAACCAATATTGCGTGTAGTTTAGTTGAGTGATTCCTTCATAGATGGACGTTCACAACGATCCTAGTGAGTAAACGTGGAATGACTGTTTGCGCCCTAAAAACTACCTAATTTGCAAGATGGCATCTTATAGGTTTTTTTTGACGTTTTATAGGTTTTTTACATGATACCCGTGCCGATCGATGACATTACAGGCAGTCTCAAGCTTTTTAACAAAGACAGGCTCTTGTACCGGCATGCCAGAGAAGGTTGCTCCTTTGAGGTCTCCTTCAGGATGCTCACTCTAGAGTGTAAAACAGACTAATCAGGCTTCTGTTTCTCATTGCAACTCATATAACGTACTTTGACTGGTTATCGAGATTATTGGACAAAATACTTCATAAAAAACAGACCTCTAAAAGTTGTTATTGATATGAACTCATCACCAGAAACTAATATCCCCGGGAGTGCCCCAAGGAACAGTGCTTCCACCACTCCTTTTTGTTCTTTACATAGCTGATCTGCACAAAGTCGTGAAATATACCTATACAATTCTCCTTCGATGATTCTCAATTATACAACAATTTCAATAATGACAAAATTATAGTTGTAGAATCTCAATTAAAGGAGGATTTAAATGCTATTGATAATTACGCAAACCTCCGCTTAAATCCTAAAAAATCATAAGTTATATTTTCTCGCAAAAAAATTAAGGAAATACATTAAAAGATATACGTATACAAGTATATCTCTGAATGGTGAAATTATCCAAGTGCTTGAATCAGTTCAAAACTTAGGTATTTTTCTTGACTATCTAAATTTCATTCCACATGTGAATCATATTACTAAAAGTTGTTTTTCAGTACTTCGCCAATTATACCTAAATAAACTAATTTTAGACTTCAAAACTAAGAAAACTCTATGCGAATCACTGATCTTTTCAAAAATTACATATCGTGATATTGTATACCATCCATTTTTAGATTCAAAATCTATCAAACGCTTGCAAAAAAATCAAAATTTTTGCTGTAGATTAGTAGAAAACTTGAAAAAGTACGACCAAAAACTAGGTTTGTTAAATATTACAAAATTATATAAATATCACTTACTATGTTATGTTCATAAACTCCAAATTACCTCATTACCTCCGTTTTTAAAGTGAAAACTACTAAATCGTATGTGTGTTCATTCTAGAGATATTTGTTTCCCAGATACACTCAGCATGCCTATCCACAGAACTTCATTTTCCCCTGAAATTAAATCTTGAACATTTGATAACTTTAAAAGACATATCAAGAATCTAGTTTTATGGTGCCAAAATTAAAAATACTTATCTTTCACTTCTGCTTATAAAAATAGTATTTATTCAGTTATGAGTATACTAAATATGTATAATACTTTTGTTAAATTATGTGTCTTATTGTCATTTATCTATTTTATTCAGGTTTGTATTTATTTTTGTATGGGTTGAGTGGAGGAATAGCTTAAGCTAAACTTCGCCCAAATAAGAAGACGTTAATTATTATTATTATTATTGCTATTAAAATCTGCTAGAAGGGGGTTTCTTCTCGTTTTTTAATGTGTATTTTTGGGTTGCTGATTGTATTATTGTGATGGTCTGTAGTGGTACCTGCTTTAATAATTTTATTATTAGGTTTTATACACTTTGTTCAAAGATGTACCAATTTTTCTTGATCTAATTTTTTAATCTCATTTCCCTACTTTCTCCTAAAACATCAATGCGACTGAGTTCAAATTTCGTGTCCAGATCAAATTGAAGTATGTTAATGTCATGAGCTCATTGTGTTTTGAAAAAACGTGTTTTTTTGGGTAATATTATCTGATAACTTTTCTACCAAACTTTTTTTTCACGTCTTGGGTGGCTCATGACATGTAAATCATGATATCCTTTCGACGAGTAAAGGAATTTTTAAGATTGCTTAAAAAATTAAAGAGATAATGAATGAAAAAATCTATCCGACCACGCCTCCCACTCGCTCCCAGTGAGTTTTCAATTTGAAGTCGAGGTTCGAGGAGTGTGTACGTCTCGATGGCTTACATCTCAATGATGTTATTCAAAAAAATAAAGTTCCCATGTGTCTACCCTATTAAAAGTTAAATTATTTTCCCTAAGCTTTGTAGTTTTTTCTATGATTTACTAAAATACGCTTAGCATGACGGGTTACAGGGTCATATAGCATATAGTGTGAAAGCATGGCGTGATCGGCTATCCTCGTCTTGTATATCCGATTTGGTGACGTAACACTTTATGGCCGCCTTCCTGCGGAACTACATAAAATCGTTTGCTCCTGGGGCGTGTAAAAATGCATAAAATAAATTAAAATGACGGCAAATTCCCGGAGTGTTCGTGATTCGGTACGCTTCACTTCGGTAGATGCATGCCAAACTAGGCCAAGCCGTTTACTGCTAGTCTTTATTTAGCACATTGTTTGAAAGGTTTGACCAACCTCGTTTGTGTGCACTGCAAAGCTCAAAGTCACTTTTTTTCTTGAAAGCGACGCTTTAAGTATGCGTAAGAGGTATGGAACGAGCATTCATAAATTAATTTTGGGAATCAGGAGACATGATCAGGACTGTGCTGAAATTAACACAAACTAAAAAGTCCGTCTGACGATACGTGCTCAATGTTCTATTATAGAACTTGTTCAGCAAATTCGATTACACAAATTATCGTTAGTCCTACATTTAAAATCTGATATTACACAAACGCGTATACGCGTAGTATGTTTACGTTCTTGATATCTATGTTTACAAAATAGTGACACTATATTAATTTCCCTAATTTGGAGTATCCAATTTCAGACTGTGTCAGGTGCAGTGTTTTCACATCTTAATTATCCCAAAAAAATAAACTTTAAAGTTACCGCCCTTTACGTCTAGCCGCCGATGTCGCACTGCACCCATGTTGTTCGCGTGTTTGAAATATTAGATGCTGTTGGCGCCATTCTGGAATGTTCAGATTCCTCGTTTCTACAAAAAAATAACCCACTGACATTTCAGTGATATCCTAAACGTATGCACCTGGTGTATCTTGTCCGAATCCGAATTTTCTCTATCATCACGTAACAAAGCTGTCTGCATGATAAGGTTCACAAACGTAATTGAATTATCTACCCTTACAAAAGATTCTTTAGTAAACCAAACTGTTGGAGATGTAGCAGATGTCTCTTATGCTAACAATATACCGCCTGACACAAAAGCCCCGGAACGGCTCTGTATTTTCTCGGGTAAGATATTTTTGGAAAAGATCAAGCTCAGATCTTCAGTAGCTTTCAGCAAGGAACTCGACGGCCACCTTGAATTTGACCTTGACCTCTATCTTCAAGGTTAATTTATGGTCAACTTATTTTTTTTCAAATAGAAATCCCTATTTTTGATGCCAGAAATTGAAAGTACAGAAAATGTTTGGAGAACAAGGTCAGGATGACTGCTAAAGGTCAAATGACACTCAAATTGGTGCTGCTAGGAAGACCTCTATAAATCTCATATATTTGACCTTTATTTAACCTATTTCATCTCCAGCGA